GATGATTTGCCTGTGTCTTATTTCTCCTCCCTTATCAGCACCCCTGGGGACCTCACTACAGATCAGAATGGCCCAGTGATGTCTCACCTGCTAGGATCATTGCTCTTTACACTTGTTTAAACAACAGAGTCAGAGGATGTTTAAGTTCATATTTAACTCTTTCAAGTAAATGTAGATGTTTTGATTCTTCTGGTCAATAGTGGAATGTGAGGATATGAGAAAAAGAATGAACCATTTCACTGCTTTGGTTTAATCTTTTTTCCTTGTAATATCAGATTAACAAATCTGAAGATCTCTTTCTTATATATAGAGCTAACTCAGCAAATAGCAAATTTGGATAAATACAAAAGAAAAACCAAACATCAGAAAACCCCAACTGATGGAACAAATTACCTAACTATGAGAATCTTTTTTCATGTGTCTTTGGGTGGAGGCAGGGAAGCCTAGAAAATTTATTCCTCTGAACGGTGTGCAACTCTATAAATTATGTCAAAGTACACAAACTGTAGCCTGTTAAAATTTTGGTTAGAAAGACCAAAGAGATGTAAAAATAAATTCTTTATTCCTTAACCTATAGTGTCCTTGAACATGTAACAGGGACTAAGGTACAAATAAGATACATTTTTTTAGATTTATTTGTTGTCAAAAATTTTACCTCATAGTTTGCGATTGTTTTCTCAAGCTGACTTAATCTAAATACAAGTAAAAATAACTTTTAAGGAAATGAATATCAAAATGAACACGAAGGCAATAATCTAAATATTTAGAGTCTAGTTAAGAGGTTCTGTTACTGAGATACGTACTGTATTGGTACAGTTGACGTAGTAATTGTAGTGTGTATAGCAAAAAATAGAAGATTGCTGATTACAAGTTTATGTGAATAGAATTAGAAGAACCTGATTTTCTCAATCCGAGTGAAACATTCTCATTATAAATTATTTATTTGCTTGGAATAGTTAAAAACCTGTATCAGAAACATGAACTTTAAAACTGCTAACCCATGTGGGGAAAAGATTCTTCACATAAAATGAATGTGGAGCATATAATTTCTTGGAGATCTTGCTTAGTAGTTATACTAATTTAAAGCTGTTGTAATGTTAGGTTCTAGTGCCTGGGAATGTATCCCCAATAAGCTTCATTCTTGTTTCATTCTAACCCTTCTACTTGTCAGTAATTTAAGCAGATTTGTGGCAGTGGTCAGAGTTTCCTAGGATTAAGAAAGCTCTACAAACAAAACAACCACACCAGATCTAAAAAGCTTCCTATTTGGTTTTGTACTCTTTTGGCTGACTATATTTCTCTGAAGAATGGCTTGTGGATTCTTCTGGCTGTTTAAAAAACAGTTGAACTGGTATTCTCAGTGTAGAGGATTGATGTACTTGAGGCAGATGTAAGAAAGGATTCTTTTTTCACAACCCTTAAAACTGTATTTAGTGTAACTTGATTGCGCATGAAGATAATGAGGTAAAATGACAGATGCACTGTTTTATATAAGGCTTCCAGTATTTAGTAGAGAAAGTGACCAGTAAGTGAATTGTAAGGGATGGCACCTTTTTTTCTTTAACAAGGCAAGTTGCCCTAAATTTTGTTCATCATTTCTACAGCTGGAGCTTCATTAACAAGTACAGTTGGAATAACCAGGGTATTGCAGCCACAGAAGAACTAAGCACAGCAAGCCTTTCAGTAACAAAAAAAAAAATAGAATTCCTGACAGGCTTCCACACTTATCTGTGTTCTGTGGTACTGTTTGAGCTGAACTAAAGCATCTGCTACCTCAAGTTAAGAGAGAACAAACTCAACATGGCATGAAATTACTGCACAGCCATTCACATTCATTAGAGTTATATTGTTACCAGCCACAGGCATGACTGGCTTTTGCATGAATAATAAAATAAAATGCTGCTTTGTGAATTTTACCTTACAACATTGCAAGGCACAGTACTAACCTTGGGCCAGGATTAGGTTTATCGTAGAGCAGCTCTCCTCACCACAGTAGAGTCAAGACCAGTAAGAAGTCAGAAGTTAGGAAGTATTGCTGTATGAGGCCTGGGGAAAGGGCCTTGTGTTAAATCAATTTACTCATTTTTTTAAACAAATATTTATTGTGCAGACTAGCTATTTGGAGATGTTAAAATTATTAAGCTACCATTTGGCAACCGTCATAGTAATAGTTGACTCAGGCAAAAATCCTCAATGGATGCTAAAGGCCATGGGTCAAAGTCTGATGAGGTATAGAACAGTTATACAATTACCAAGGGAAAAAAGTAATTTTGCAGTGTGGCCACCTGACAGACACCTCATCCAAGTGATCAAAGTTAATCACCAGAAATGGGGAAAATTGACATCATGTGCCTCATAATATATTCACTGAGAAGACCTCACTTCTGAGTTATTCCTGTTAAAAATGCCTGACCTGGGGCGCCTGGGTGGCTCAGTCGTTAAGCGTCTGCCTTCGGCTCAGGTCATGATCCTGGGGTCCTGGGATCGAGCCCCACATCGGGCTCCCTGCTCCGCGGGAAGCCTGCTTCTCCCTCTCCCACTCCCTCTGCTTGTGTTCCTGCTCTCGCTATCTCTCTCTCTGTCGAATAAATAAATAAAATCTTAAAAAAAAAAAAAAATGCCTGACCTGTGGGGCGCCTGGGTGGCTCAGATGGTTAAGCGTCTGCCTTCGGCTCAGGTCATGATCCAGGTCCTGGGATCGAGCCCTGCGTTGGGCTCCCTGCTCAGCAGGGAGTCTGCTTCTCCGTCTTCCTCTGCCTCTCCCCACTGCTCCTGCTCTCTCTCTCTCTATGTATCTCTCTGTCTCAAATGAATAAATAAAAAAATTCTTTAAAAAAAAAATGCCTGACCTGCATCTAATCATGAGAAAACACCACAAACCCAAATCGAGGAGCAGCTACAAAAATGGCAGTGTTATGGGACGCCTGGGTGGCTCAGTCGGTTAAGCATCTGCCTTTGGCTCAGATCGTGATCCCAGGGCCCTGGGATCGAGTCCCGCATTGGGCTCCCTGCTCCGCAGGGAGCCTGCTTCTCCCTCCGCCTCTCTCTCTCTCTCTCTCTGTCTCTCATGAATAAATAAATAAAATCTTTAAAAAAAAAATGGCAGTGTTACTAAAAGACAAAGGAATGCTAAGTAACTATTCTACATTAAGGAAGTCTCAAGAGACATTGACAATGAAACACATTGTGTGGTCCAAAATTTTCCTCCCTTGCTATTTGACATTTTTGTCTTCTAGTCTAGTTATAGAAGTGGTATTGAATAGGAAAAAAAATATATTTTTAATAGTCTGAATTAATACTATACCCAGTTTCCTTCCTATTTTACCTTTATGTGGATTTTTAGGCAGTGTTTTGGATTGGGTTTGGGTTTGGGTTTTTTGGTTTTTTTGGTTTTTTTAATATGGGACATTTCATAAATTTGCGTGTCGGGGCTGTGCTAATCTGTTATGTTCCAGTTTTAGTATATGTCCTGCTAAAGGGAGCACTGGGTAGGTGTTTTTTAAAGAATAATTGCGAATGACAGTTCAAGCTATTGAAAACCTAAAAATTATAATTCTTAATTGTTTTACCAAATTTTCAATCAACGTAAGAATAGAGTCCTCATGCTGTTTAAATAGTAGAATGCACCATTTAAGAGTTTCATGAGCACCTAAGAAAAGAAGTAGTGATCACTAAGATGAATTTATAAAGAAGTCATGGTATTCATAAAGAAGTTTGGTATAGTTTTTAGACAGGTTGGTAGGTAACAGTAATGCTTCATTTTCAGGAAGGCAATTTGATGAGTGTCTGATTTCTTGTGGACAAGATGAAGAAATAAACTGAGTGATTATAGTTAATTAAATAAGTAATTCAATAATAATTGGAGGTCAGGCTCATAAGTAATTTCTAGTGTTGTATCTGTTGCAGAGATCTCTTCTGTCCTGTTAATAACTTGGATAAAGTCATTGATGACCTATGGAACAGACTTTTTAAATGACACAAATCTGGGAGGGATAGCCAAAGCATTGGATAACTGAAACTGGAACTGAAAGATAATGGTAGCCAGGAATGACAGGCAGGAATCCGCAAAATAAATTTGACAGGAATAAATTCTACAAGGACAACCAGTCATATGTGATGGGTGGAAGGAAAAGCTTTAAGATAATTCATGGAAAATCACTTGCAAAATGGTCAGTTGGCCATATTTAACAAATTTATTGCTTTGTTTCCTTTAACTATTTGATTTAATATGTATCGTTTGGGTCCAGTCAGAAAAATGGAAACCATACTAGTATGTCAAACATAGGGAAATGTAATACAAGGAGTTGGATATACAGGTGTTAGAAGACTAAAAGATAAAAAAGGGGGGACACTGAGCTATTAAAGAAAAACTACAGGAGGCACAATTACCACACCAAGAGCCTTATAAGAAGCAAAAGGGAAGAAGTCTTCATAATCTAGAAGCTATGGCCCTAAGTTGGCACTCGGACTTATGAGGAGGGGACACTGTTCAGCTACTGGTGGGATTGAAATCCATATTACTAAAAGATGTTTATTTATGTAAGAAGCCAAAATAATTAAATTGTGTTCTCTATATTGAACTAAATGTAATGACATCTGAATGAACATCTCTTCCATCTTGAATTTGGTTCCGAGAATGAACTAATTTGACTTCAGTTGTATTAATCTGTACACCCCCTCATCTTTAAAATGGCTTTACCATTAATAGCCCTCCTACCTAAGATGTGTTCTTAAGTGACCTCTCAGAAAAAGTGTTTATAGAAATTTAGAGAAGAATTAAAAAAAAAAAAGCATGGCAATTAAGTTGGATGAGCTAAACATTCCCTTTGATTTTAAGTGTGTACTTGTTTTAATTCTTCTTTCTCACTGATATCTTAAACACTGTTTAAGTGGATTGAGTAGTTAAAGATGATTGTCATGCTCTGAAACATTGAAGGACAAAGTTTGGAATTGATTTCTCTCTTTCTTTTTTCCTTCTCCCCCAAATATTGCTTCTTTAGGTCAGTAACAGATCCAAGAGATGGAAAGAGAGTAGCACTCAAAAAGATGCCCAACGTCTTCCAGAATCTGGTCTCTTGCAAAAGGGTCTTCCGGGAATTGAAGATGTTGTGTTTTTTTAAACATGATAATGTAAGTGAAGTTGGTCTTTGGGATAGACTTTTTCCTACGCATGCTTAATTGTGTTAGTAGAGAGCAAAAGAGAGTAAAAAAAAAGGGGGGGGGGATGTGCAAGTTATTAAGAAGTTTGGGAACCTGAGACAAATTAGACCATTTTTTTGTCAAAAATGAGCAAGTTTAAGTGAATTCTAAGATGTATTGATCAACAGATAAACATTAATTGATGTAAAGAAAATGTTAATAGTCAGCTGAGGAATGATACTAATATTTAACATAGAGTGTAATATGTAGTATGAGTGATTTAAGTGGAAATAATTGGTCCCTGATTTTAAATGCTTTATTCTTAACCTTTAATATTTGAAATAAGAGATTAATTTAAAAATGTAGGGAAACAGTTTCTTCTTTTAAAAAACAATATAGCTGTTAAAGTAACATAGGTTAGCTTATTATGGCTGTGTTGAGAGAAGTCAAGACTCATGGGTGAATAGAAGAATCATTGTGGTTTGAGAGATAGCTTCTCCTCAAACCTGAAGTAAATGTTTGATACATGTAAAATTTACCTGGGGATCTTAGCATTGGACTCTGGAGTTTTCGATTTCATATGATAAGAAAAACTGCCTCACATTCTTCATTTGGTACTCAACCCACGTTATTTTAATAGCTAAAATAAAAACTTTATCATAATATAGTAATTCCTTGTGAGTCTGACTGCTTGTTTGCACAGGAACTTTTAGAACTTTGACCAAAGTGTAGGTCTCACTTTAAGAGAGAAATTTGTAGTTTGAGGTGTTTGGTAAAAGTAAGAATATCAAACAGATATGTTTACTTGAAATTCCTTGCTTTGACATATTTCATCTTATTGATTACTCCTTGACATCCATTTTCCTTAAACTTTTTTTAAAAAGTTACTGCTATCTTTCAGTCAATTGGAATTGCCTAAAAATGTGTTTGTTTCAGTGACTTTGAAAATACCACTCGAGTTGCTATTTTATGACTGGTCCCTCAAATTTTGTAAGTGATTTAGAAAGATGTCTAGTGCTTGCTTAGTTATTTATTTCTTGAATTTGAGTGGCATCCCAACATCAAAGAGGACAAACGTTATTTACATTGTTAGAGACTCAAGTAAAGGTATCCATGGTGAAGAAATTTGCTAACTAAGGATTTCAATGATTTATTATATTCAGACCTATCTTGGCTTCTTTTATAAAGGAGGGATGGTGTAATAGGCTGTTATCTATATATATTGGTATCTTTGCTCGTGACTCATTCCTATAGAGTAACTAATTAAGTTAAAAAGGTGGTGTCAGTGAGTAGCGTAAGAAAAGAAATAAAATTCTTGAAAATCATACCTATCAAAACATAGCAACCAGTTGGAGCTCCTGAGCTCTATCATAAGTGAGTGCTTGTGACTTCTGTGGGAATATTCAAAAGTGAGACAGATGGTTAGAGATGAAGATGGTATGGCACCATTATTTTATATATCATGAATTTATGCTGTGCTCTGAGATCTCCAGAAGCGTCTCAGTGCCACATTACCTGTTATGTGTGCAATGCCAGTCTGAGAAGCAACTGGTATTTGATGTAGTTAAGGCAACAAATGTCTATTATTGTCCTGTATAGAGGCAGTGCTAGGTCATGTGGAGGATACAAAAAAGGTTTAAAATGTCCTTTTTTGAGGGATCAGGTATTTAACACTTATTCCTATGTGTCAGGATGTACCTAGAGGCTTTCCATACATTAATTTATTTAATCCTTAAATCTTGTCAGATAGGGTTTGTTATCCTTACTTTGCAGAGAAGGAAACCAAAGCTTAGAGTTAAGTAACTTGCCCAAGGTCAGGGTGGCACAAGGTTGGAGTCTCTCTTGCTTCAGAGCCCATGTTCATTAATTCAAAAAACATGTATTCCGCACATCCTATATTCCTAAACTGTTCAGCTTTAGGGCTTTCTAACCTTAAGGAGTTTAATAATGTGTTGAATACTATGATTACAGTGCTCTGGGAGGACTACCTGCATAGTTAAATATTAATGCAAGACAGTCTGTGTTTTGTGCATGGAAAAAACTGAGCAACCAAATCTAGAAGTATATTATAATCACCACGGTGATCCTTAAAAAGGCAGATTCATGGGTCTCATCCCAGACCCACTAAATTGGAATCTCTGGGGTTGAGGCCCAGGGATCTGTAATTTTTAAAGCTCAGGTGAATGTCACACAAGTACCATAATATTAAGGAAAAGAGAAATTGTTGTGGACTTAGAAGCTCAGAGATGCTTTAAACATGGAGGAGGTAAACCTTAAAATGAGCCTTTTGAGATTAAGATTTGAAAGAGAAGAAAAGAATGTCATGATGAAAATGGCATTTAGAAAGATTACCCTGGCCACCGTAGGAAGGTTGGATTTTAATTTGGATGGCTTTTAATGTTTTTTGTATCCTCCACATGAATAGCTACAAAGCCCTGGGAGGCTTTGGATTTTCTTTTGAACAGAACCTTCAAAGTCACTATATCAGGGGTGCCTGGCTGGCTCAGTCGGTAGAGCATGCAACTCTTGATCTCGGGGTCATGAGTTCAAGTCCCACATTGGGCATAGAGCTTACTTGAAAAAAAAAAAAGTCACTGTATCAAATTCATTGATTTTAGTTGATCTGACTGATTGAGATATACACACACACTTTTCTTTAAGGATAGATTCACCTTGATGTAGTAACTTAGAGAAACAGTAATGGGTTTAACTTTCTAAAGGTTGTTGTTGGCTGGGCTTATCTTTAGAGTCTAGTCAGAATCTGAGCTATTACAAAACCTGGCAAAAATACTCTCTACCCACCCATGCACTTGTGCATGTGTTTATGCACACACATAATTGTCATATTATCAGCATGGAGAAGGCGTGATTGAGGTTGTTTTTTGTTTTTTGTTTTTCCAGTTTTGTGCTCCTTTGAGAATCTGATAAAAGCTCTTTTGGAAAAATGCACATACACATGATATTTATGTCATGTTAGGCTTTCACTAGTCCTCTAAAGCCCTTTCGGAGCCCCCTCAAAGGTCCACTGATTCCTGCAAAGATCCCCTGCAATACAAATCTGGGGCTTTTTCTTGTCCTTAGGCAATAGCACTAAGTATGCAATAGGCAGTCAGTCTATTTGAAGAATGAGTAAGTAAATGAAAGTGACAGAAAAAAGAAATCTCCAAGTCTGGCATGATAACCTCAGTGATCTCTCTCAGTTACTTTTTCCCAGTCTTTTAATTCTGAAATACTCTAGAGGGATAGAGAAAACAAAGAGGAGGAGGTAGTAGAGGCAAAGAAGAACGATGTGTTTTCCTTTGTGTAGACTGACCTAACTCATACCAATATGGGACCAAGAGGACACTTCTCTGAATGCAGACATGCTGTTTAGCTGCAGACATTTATGCTAATGTTTCTGCTGCTAGGGAGTGTGAAAAGACAAAGGATGCTGTAGACTGGCTTACTTTTCAGTGGATTTGGTTTTGTTTGTTCTGTGCCTAAAATTTGTGGTACTGGGCAGTTTCTTCATGTATTTAAAATGAAACATTCTCGTGTTCATGAATTGGAAAAGTCAGTTTGGTTAATATGCATGTTCTTTCCAAGTTGAGCTCTATATTCAATGTAATCCCAATCAAAAACCCAGTAGGGTTTTGTATATATGTGTGTGAGGAAATTGACAAACATTCTAAAGTTTATGGAATTGGAAAAGACCTAAAATACTCAAGACAGTCTTGATGAAGTTGAACAAAGTCTATTTCACAACAGATACATAAATTAATCCAAAATAGATTATAGATTTAAATGTGAAAGATAAAATAATAAAGCTTCTGTAATAAAACATAGGAAAATATCTTCGTGACTTTGAGATAAGCAAAGATTTTTAATGAGACAAGTAAAGCATTAACTATTTTATTTATTTGTTTGTTTTTTGAGGGGGGAGCATAGGAAGAGGGAGAGGGAATCTTAAGCAGTCTCCACACTCAGCGTGAAGCCTGACGTGGGGCTTGGTCTCATGACCCTAAGATCATGACCTGAGCCTAAATCAAGTTTAACTGACTGAGCCACCCTGGCACTCCAAGCATTACTATTTAAAAAAAAAAAAAAAAATTGCTAAACTGGACAGCTTTTAACCTTAAGAATTAATGCTCATCAAAAGTTAAGAGAATGAAAGGACAGGCCTCAGACATATATTCAACAAAAAACTTGTTTCCAGAATATATTATGTGATAGACAATTATAAATATTTAGCATTTGAAGAAGACCATTAGAAGTAAATATTTTACTTGACATTTTTTGAACTGTGAATTCTATATCTAAACATCATATATCTTATAAAGAGCTTCTACAAATCAAGAACTTTGCCCATTAGTAAAAGACTCAGGAATTTGACAAAAGAGGATAACCAAATGGCTAATAAGCATATGACAAAGTGCTCAAAGTCATCAGAGAAAGGTAAATTAAAAGCATAATGAGATAATAATATACCCACCAGAATGGCTAAAATCAAAAAGACTGACAATACCTACTGTTGACAAGAATGCACATTAACCGAAGACTTTAAAATTGCTGGTAAGAGTGTAAATTTGTAAAACCACTTGGGAAAACTGGTAGTTTCTACTAAAGCTAAATACACACCTACCCAGTGATCCAGCAGTTGTACTCCTTGGTATACTCAAGACAAATCATATATCCACCAAAAGACATGTACAAGAGTGTTCATGGCTGCTTTATTCGTAATACCTAGAAATTGGAAACAACCGAAATGTCTGCCAGCAGTACTCTGGTTAAGTACATTGTGTTAATAGTCCATTCACATGATGGTATACTACACACCAATAAAAAGGATGAACCACTGATCCACATATCAACAGGGATGAATCTCATAGGCATAACAGTAGAGGAAAAAAGTCATACACAAAAGACTTCATTCTTTATGATTCAATTTGTATAAAGTTCAAGGACAGGCAAAACAAATCTGTGGTGATGGAAATGAGAATAGTGGTGACCTCTGAGCAGGGATGGGTTTTGATCAGAAAGGGACAAGGGGACCTTCTGGGGTGTTGAAATGCTTAACTTCTTGATCTAGATGTTAACCATGGAGTAAAAAAATCATCATATTATATACTTTGTGTAAAAATTAATCAAATTACACACTTGGCATACTTTTTACAACTCTATTAAAAATAAGAGTAATTACATAGTCTCTACTTTAAGGAATTTAAAATCTGTTGGGGAGTAAGATTGGGGAAGGGGTAGCTCCTTTGCCAAACATGGGATTTAATTGGATTTTATGAACAGTTAAATTTCTAGTTTTTATACTTAGGATTATTTACAGTAGTTGTTTTATTGATAAAGAGTAAGAAAAAAGAAGCCAGTTTTGCATTGTGTAACCAGTTTATAGTGAATCTTAAAATCACAGAGGTTAAAATTCTAAAAAAACAGCCACCATAATGGGCTTTTGTCTAGTTCTTAAAAGATTTGAGAAATGTGCTGAGACACTGTTTGGTAATGACCATTACTTACAGAAGTATTTTAGTTCATTTTTTTAATTAGACAAGTCTGCTTGCTTTTTGTGTGTTTGAGATCCTTTGAAGAGTTGGTGGTATTTGGGGATACTTTGACTCCTTACAAGTCAAAGTCTTTGCAAGAGTCCTCCTATTTACATCATAAGGCTAATCTCACACACTCTATTCCCACAAATAATGGGGTTATAGAGGGAATCAGGCTATTTAAATAGGGAGTCAGGCATGAAGTCTGGAGTTTGAAACTGGTACTGTTCCTTCTTACTTATTTACATCATTTCTGAGATTCCTGGATCATTTCTACTGATCTAAGCACTGTTTTTGCCCCCCTGGAAGCACTGTGGAATGCCATCCTCTGATAAACATTTTGAGATAAAATAACAGTAATATAAAATAAGAGGCATTTTAAAAATTCCAAGCAGAGTTTAAAATATTGTACCTTTGAAGCTAATAATCACAGCTAAATGCTTTAGTGCAAATGTCTGACCCTGTTTTATATGGCTTTTCTACAAAAAGCTTCATCAAATCTGGAATAAGAAAGCCTCATTCTTCATCAAGGTTTAAAATGTATGGTTGTCACTTTCTCTAGATAACCTTTAATTATAGCAGATAGATTTGAAGTGTAAAATAGCTTTGTCTAATGGACGCTGTCACTCATTGCATTCTGGCTTCCCCCAAGACAGGATGTATGTTGTTCAGATACAGAGCGGAGAGTCCGAAAGACGTCAAGTAAAACACTAATTTCTGTCTTCCTCAAACATCAAATATTCATGTTAAAAATTGTTCTATCGCATAATGAGAAATGAATTTGCATGAATTTGTGACACTAGCTAATTATAGGGTTTTAAATTTATAGAAATGAAATAATTTACCTTTTATATGATAAAAGTTATTTTTTGAAGAAACTGAAAAATCTGTTATCTTTCATTTATACCAAGATTCTAAGTATAAACATTTTAATTCAGAAAGGAAAGATCCAGGTTAAAGCATGTAAACTATTTTCGAACTTTTATATGTAACTGGTTTTAAAATGAGTAAAGACTTCTTCATTACAGGAAGTTTTAGTTTAATTTAGAATTTTAAATGCTTGGCTGAAAAAAAATGAGCAAAGGTTTTTCCACATGTAAATTGCAAGGGGAAAAGAAAAAGAGGAGAAATCTATATGTTACAACTTAAAACACAAATCAGCCATAATATGTAAATCTTATTTAGGTACTGATTTAGACTAAAAAACTTTAAAAAAAAGAAAAGAAAATTGGAAATTTCAGAATTGGATATTTGATGATATTAAAAAACAAAATTTTTAGACTTGATAATTATATATTTTTAGTTTTTCTCTTTGGGGCATCTGGGTGGCTCAGTGGGTTAAGTGTCCAACTCTTGATCTCAGGGTTATGAGTTCAAGTCCCACATTATTTAAAAATAAATAAAAGTTTTCATCTTTTACCAATACTTACTGATACATGGCTGAAATAAGTCTGGTATTTGCTTCAGAATTATATAGGGAGAATGGGGATATAGATGCAATAAGAATGGCTATTTGTAGATTACTAAGACTGGGTTTTGATTACATGAGCATTCTTGATACTATTCTATGCACTTTTATGTTTGAAATTTTCCATAATAAAAATTTTTTTTCTTAAAAAAGCTAAAGATAGAAAATTTGAACTTGTACCACACAGTTTATTTCCTGTTAAATAACTTCTTCCATATTCTTTGACCCTCACATTTCTTATTAGTTAGATAGGTTCAGATTCTTAAGTGTGACATCATAGGTGGGACTTTAAAGGCTGGTAGGGGAAGTAGGCCTATTTGTTACGTTTCAAAGGCAGAAGTGACTTTGTTAGTATTCTGCTTTTATAAAGGACTTGAATTTCAGATGCCTTAAAGTCTTCTTTCCACCCTGGTGACTTCCTTTTTTGTACTTGGAATAAAATCTAAAATGCTTAACAAAATTTAAAGAGATTTTATGTGATAATATCCCCTGCCTTCCTCTTCTACTTTATCCCAGTCTGTTTTCCTCCCACCCTGTCTGTTCCATAAGCACTGGCATTTCTGTTTCTAGAATTTGCCTAGTTCCTTCTTGCTTCAGTGCCTTTACAGTACCTACTCATTGCCTGACCAACTCCTATTCAGCCTTCAAGTCTTAGCGTTACTTCAGGGAAACTTTTTGTCCCCATTCCTCTTGACTTTTTCCCTTCAGATAATATACGTCCTAATTAGATAGTTGTGTAACTGCTTGTTTGTTTAATGCTTTCCTCTCTACTAGTCATGAGAGCAGGGACTTTCGTTTATCAGTATAACCAGAGAGCCTACCACAGTGCTGGCCAGGGAGAATGTACTTGGTAAACATTTTTTTGAACAGAGGAGTAGAGGAATGAATGGTAGGTGTGTCTCCTCGTGCTCTTAGAGCAACACTGATTGTCAAAAATAGGGCTTTCAACACACTTTCCATGCAGCGGTCTGGCAGCATGTAGTAGAACCCAACTGCCCCTCTCATTTTAGTTTAGATAGAATTGTCTTTTACATAGTAAGTTTACAAACCCATCTTAATGTTTAGGACTGTTTCTTGACTGATACATTTAGTTATTCTCAGTGGGCAGTTGTAACTAAGCCATAAATCATTAAAGAGTTAATAGTATTACTTGCATTTATGTCATATTTTGCTTCCTTTTTAGTTCTCTAAATTTGACTTTTTTTTTTTCTCCTTTTCTCAGGTACTCTCTGCCCTTGACATACTCCAACCTCCACACATTGACTATTTTGAAGAAATGTATCCTAACCAGGGAATGTGAAAGAAGGGGACAATAATTTATTAATTTATTCTTCTAGCACCTTTTGGGGTTCATGCTTTAAGATGTATAAAATCTCATCCTTGCAGAGGTGGTTGAGTACCTGGAACCAGGTAATTTTGAAATCCCAAGTATCTGACAGAGAGCAATATTATCAATGTATCCTGAATTGTGATACCATAAAACAGGACTTTGGAGCACATATTTTACTTAACCTGCACACAGCCTTATGAGATAGGTTATTACCATCCCCATTTTTGCAGATGAAACCAGTGAGGCAGCTATGTTGTATGGAACTCAAGAAAGCATTCTTGTTGCTATATAACAACTGCCTATCAGTTAAGAGGATAATACCGCCCCTTTTTTCTACCACTTGGGGTAAGGTGAAAATTAAAGAGATAATGTAAGTCAAATCCCAAGTTCTTTGGAATAATGGTGATGGTGCTGGTAATAGTCATTACTTACATAAGTTTTTATCAGATGCCAGGCACAATTCTAAGTTATTTACACATACGAGTTTAATCCCTATACAACCATCTGGGAAAGATACTGTCACTGTTCTCATTTTACAGAAGAGGAAATTGAGGCACAAAAGATAAAAAAGACTTGACAAGATCACAGAGTTAGCAAGTGTTGAGATTGAGGTTCAATTCCAGACGGTCTGACTCTGTGGTCTTTATTTCAACTCCTACATGATTCTCTCAGGATAGAGGTTTTAACATTATATTACTACTGTTAATATGTAAAAATAGTATGTTAGGTATCATGGATAATAAACTGTAAAATAATGCCTAGTATTAGCTCCTGGGACTATACATGAAAATAAAAAATTGAGACATAGGTTCGCCCTAGGCAAAGCAGCACCATTTACCATTCTGCATTTAACTGGGTAAAACTTTAAGTGAAAGACAGGGAGTCCTAAATCATTGGATTCAGTGAGCTCATTACAGTATATTCACTCTAGGCTTTTTATTAACACTAGGCCTATGACTTAGAATGGAAACCAATATGAAAGCAAGATAGTTTTTCAGACTTAGCAGTGAGATAAAAATCTCATTCTTACACAGGTGGTAGGTAATTCTATACTAGACAATTATCTTTGATAATTTCTTTAGTAACTGGGAACAATTAAGAGCTTCTCTAAGGGAAGGAGAATGGCTAAGCTGACTGGGGAATTGGGAAACGTTATAAGGTGATAGAATTGTCACTTATCAACACTGCTGGGATGTTGTGATCTGATAAACCTAAAGCTCTTGAATGCTGTAATCCTCGGTGATAGTTTAACCCACGAATCTTTCTGGAATTAGTAAAGGCTTAACTCAGTGGACTTGGGGTGCTCCAACCCTGCACTTTCCAGAGAAAGCTTCTGGCTGACAAGAGTGTCTTTCTATATTTGAGATCTTGGGCTTGGTCAGATGGTTCTTGACATACGGTTTTTTAAAAAGCACAGAATTACCCTAAGGATAGAAGAATTGAGAAAGTTCTTTTCTCCTCAACTATAGATCAGAAGTAACAACTGAGGAGAAGGCATTGATGATTCCATTTCATAGACTTCCTGAAAATTACCCAGGTTTTCACTGAAGAAGGGACTCGGAGTGGGGCCATACTTGTGTCATTCATCAGAAGTAACTTCCGGGGCGCCTGGGTGGCTCAGTCGTTAAGCGTCTGCCTTCGGCTCAGGTCATGATACCAGGGTCCTGGGATCGAGCCCCACATTGGGGTCGCTGCTTGGCGGGAAGCCTGCTTCTCCCTCTCCCACTCCCCTGCTTGTGTTCCCTCTCTCACTGTGTCTCTCTCTGTCAAATAAATAAATAAAATCTTTAAAAAAAAAAAAAAGAAGTAACTTCCTACACTTTGCCAGGAGTCAACCTTTATCCTTTTAGTTGGCCAGAAAGGAACCTACATATTAGAAGGCATTCCTATGAATGTGTAGTGCTATTTCTACCTATTTGGAAATGACGTTGCTGACAACAAACCTTGAAATTAGAAGAAATCTTTATTAAATAAGAATTTTATTGTATTATAGGTTGTGTCAGGGGTCCCCGAGATTACCCTCAGCTTCCATGATTTGCTGAAATAACTCACAGGATCCAGGAAGGGTGTTCTACCATGGCTACAGTTTATTACAGCAAAATGATACAGATTAAATCAGCAAAGGAAAGCGGTGCATAAGGCAGAGTCCAGGAGAAACCAGGTACAAAGTTCCACTTGGCCTCCCGGTAGATTTGCACAGATCTTGCTTAATTTTCCCAGCAACAATGTATGACAACACAGATAAATTTTGTCAACCAGGGAGGTTCACCTGAGCTTTAGCGTCCAGGGTTTTTATTGGAGGTCAGTCAGGTAGGCATAGAGCACCCACAGGGCTGACCTTAGCTACTCAAGTCTCTGGCCCTCCTCCTCTTTCCCCACCCAGAGGTTACTCTAATACAGCTGGCCAAGGCCCCAGGCAAACAAAACCGGGTATCACCATAAATCATACTGTTAGCATAAACTGTCTGATTTGACCAAAGCCCCAGGTATATTAAGACACTCTTATGAGGCAGGACATTGCAAGGACTCAAAGGTTATTTCCCAGGAGTTGGTCCTGAGCCAGTCCTAAAGACTTTTGGAATGTGTAGGGTTTGGGTAACCTAGAGCTGCTGAGTTAACCCTTTATTGCACCTAGGCCATCTGTGAGGAAAGAATGTTTTCAAGTAAGATAATTAATTGGTGAATATGTTTATATTTAATAACTGCCAGATATATTTAGATTCTCTTCACTGAACACTTAGCTAATTTATAATATTCATTTTCTGTCTCATAGTTCAAGCATGAATTGTTTATATCAGGCATTAATTTTGTATACTTGGGTTTGTCATTCCTTTAAAAACTTTGTGTGCTTCTATAATCTAGGAGTTCTCACTTATTATTAGTGACCATAATTGGAGTCTCGGAGATCCTTGATTGATTATTATTTCAAATACTTGCAGAGCAGAGGGAAAGTTAGCATCGTTATGGTTTAAAACTGTGAGTGGCATAGATAGTATAGTACCTGTTGGTGGCTGATTTCAGCCCATTTCATTAGTTAGCATTATGTTTCTATGAAATTCCTCTCCCCAAAATTGTTCATGAATGTTTAATTAAAAGTCTTTGCCATAAAATATTTGTAGAACCATCTGGTACACGATTTACTTAAATGTTTTACTTTCTTATTTAATTTTTTTACCTTCAGGTTAAAAAATTGATACCTGTTGTAATTAGATAGCTGCAGGAGAGTCTTTCAAACCTAAACCTCAATTATTATTCTTTTCTGTTGTATAATTTTTAGCTATATATAGAATCATGCACAGAAAAAAGGTGTTTTCCACTGGTTGTGCTAAACACTGAATCTTTTTAACATAAAAAGGAATTGTTCCTATAGCTGCCCCAGGATTATAAACACTTTGTAGGAAGGCATGATTTAGCTTGGAGAACAGGATACTAAAAATTTGTGTTTTAGGATAGCTATTAAATGGAAATGTAAGAAATGCCTTAATTACATATAAGCTCTGCCTTTGGTGATTCTTTTAATATCCTAAATAGGAAGTTTTCTATGTCCTGTACTTTTTAATACAAATAAATTTATTGTAGCCAAAGCAAAAACATTTTTCCCTCAGTTTCCCACTGAAAAATAAGAAAACTTACTACTAAAACATAAAAATATTGAAGATTAATAATATTTCAAGTTAGTACTTGATTTCAACTTAATGTATTATTCATCTGTGTTAGCAGCTCCCTCTGTAGTATCTCAAGAACATGGCATACACATTATACATGGTTTTAGACAGTGGCTTTTTTTTTTTTTAAATTGGAGGATTGTTGTGTCTTTGCAGATTTTAGAATGGATAATGTTTTGAGTTTTAAATGTATGATCATGGAATTGTGCTTTGAAGAAACTTTTGAGGTCTGTTTGAGGCTCTGTCATTTTAGGTAAGTTCTAAGTATGTTGCTATTAGATCTAATGGATGTTCTAATAGTTGATAAAGGAATCAGTTCATAGGGTCAAAAATATATATTTATCTTATTATTTAAGTCATTAAAGGAAATAATCTTAAGTAACCTTCCATTATACATACAGTACCACATCATTGCACTTTTTTCTAAGATTTAAAAAATTGTGCTGTTATATTACATATGTAACTGTTAGTACAGAAACATTTTAAAATCTCTTTACACTGATATAATAGTTGGTATCATTTTAGAAAATCTGAGGTCTTTGAATGTTTTGATATAATCAGATGTACAATAAGAGTATAAGCATATAGTATCATGCAGTTAATCATACATTTTTTTTCCCTGAAACTGTAATAAAATGATTACATCGGTGCCCGCCACCAATGGCTTGAGTTTTCAAAGACCATGCATCTTTAGATAGCTCCTTAAGCAACTTATAAAAAGACAGTATCTAGATTATAACTGTTTACCAATCTACCTACAGGGTGCAACAGATTTAGCAGGAGTCCAGTATGGAAGGAGCAATAAATTCTACCCTGTTCTCTGTATATTGTAGCTTTTCTATTTTCATATTTTTAAAATCTAATGTATCAACCTGGAAAATATATTCCTTAATAATTAAGAAAAATTATTTTTTAACTGAACTTTTAGCTGTTAAGGGATTACATTATTCATTTTGCACTCTGAGTTTCTGTTTAGAAAACTGTATGAAAATACTTTGGCGCTTAGTCACTTTGAGCCTACTGAAATTTAACCCAAGAGAAACCAGCTGTAATTATTTGATTGAAAATCATTATTTATCATGCTCTAGTAAGGATTCTGAATTCTGTACATAAACATGCCTTTTCTACTGGGATGCCTGCTGGATTGGAAATAAAAATTTGGCCTGTCTTGGGAAAAGTTTACTTTTAACTTGAAACATAATGAAACATGATCTTAGTAGTAGTACAGGTTTTCTGTACTAGAAGCAGTTACAGCCTAAAACCAGTGGAAATGAGAAGTCTAATGGGTGACTGTGTGTCCTGGTATGTCAGGACTCCTGGATTTTACCTAATGTCCTGTATAATTATTAATTAATAAGTTCCTCCTTTTACTTTCAGAAGTGTCCCTATAATAGGTTTGGCTTGTGCAGGCATTG